GTTCGGAGAGATTGTCATCAGACAGATGTCCATTTTGAAGTTCTGCACTTAGATCTTTCTAATGAGCCGAATTTTGGTAATTAAATTTCAGTTTTCTGGAGTGACCTGTGTAGAGTGGTCTGTTTGGCTTAGTCAGATGTAAATAGACTGTCAGAGCTTTGGGGGGAAATGGTCCAGTCCTTTGTGATGTCCAATCCAGGACTTCGAGGGCCGAGTCTGAGAGGTGGCTCGCGTGGCCTCTGAGAGCGTACCGTGGGGCTCTGCCGAGCAAGTGAGGACCGTCCTCCTCCTCGTTACCAGACGGGGTTCCCGCGTCCCGCGCAGCCCTGCCCAGTCCCTGGCGAGAAGCAGCCCCTTGCTCTGCAAGGACACGACTGCTTCCAGTCCTGGGCAGGAGAAAAAGTCTTTCATAGGGAGGAAAAGTGCCTTTTTTAAAGACGACGAATGAAAACGAGTAATGGTAGTTTAGGAAGCTTTCCTTTATGTTCCCTATGTTACCTCGAAATCACACCGACTCCGCACAGGCCTGCCTTTACAAGCAAGTCTTCCGGTGGAGCCCTGCACCGCCGAGCTTTAAAGCAGAGCGACAGCGACGCGCTCCGGCAGGTTGGGAAGTGGTGCTTTAAAGTGAGGACGGACTTTCAGTTCGCTGGCTGCCTCCGCCCCAGACAGGAGCAGCAGGAAGACGGGTCCGTTTCTGTCCGTTTCCGCTGGGTCTACGGCTGCAGGCTGACTCCAGCCAGGCTGGCTGGAGAGGGTTCTGGTGGGTGCTGTTAACCTCGGGTATGGACAGTCAGTCTGTGAACTTCTTTTTGTTCTCGGTATGTCTCAGAAGTTTCCGGAAGAGAACACAGAAGTCCTGTGTACCCTTCGCCTTGCTTCCCTAAAATGGTGAAACTTTCGTAAATATAGTACAGTAATTGAAACCAGGAACTTAACACTGATACGGTATTATTAACTGGTACACAGATGCTACTCAGATTTCTGCGATTGTCCCACTTAACACCCCTTTCCCGGTCCAGGATACCAGAAGAAGGATACTTCTCTAATCTGGGACAGTTCCTCTGCCTATGTCCTTCATGACCTTGACACTTGAGGAATACAGGCGGGTTATCTGTACCGTGTCCTTCCACGGGGGGTGGTCTGGGGTTTTCTCATGGTGGCGCTGAGGTTGCATGTTGTTCGCAAGAATGCTACAGTCGGGCTGTGGAAGTCATCGTAGCACATCTGATCAGGAAGTCTGTAGCGATGATGGGGCTCCTTTGTACGGGTGTTTTCAACTTGGATCATTTGGTTTAAGGTGGTGGCCAGGTTCCTGCCCCGTAAAGTCACTGTTTCCTCCTCTGTAATTGAGAAGTACCTGCTGGGGGATAAGTGTATTGCAACTCTGCAGAGACCCCGTTTCTCATGGATTTTCACCCATTAATCTCAGTACCATGGATGATTGTTTCTTACAGCTATTACTGCTAGAAGTTTTACCTGATGATGAATTTCTATTTCCATTCTTCTTTCGGGGATTTCTAAATGGAGGTCCCTTGTGAGAAAGAGCTGTCAGTACCACAGTGTTTGTAAGGCCCATCAAGAAGCGCAGCATCTGTGTTGTTTCTGGAAGTTGTGCCTTGTTTACTTCATGACACCCAGATGGGCCAGCTGACCCTTCCCAGTATCAAGGCTAACGGATTCTGGGCCCAACGCTTCCTACTCCTCCGCCAGTAGCTGGTCAGCTTATGGGTATCTTGGTGCTCGTTGTGGGAGGTGAGACTGAGGAGGTTAGTTCAGTGGCCTCAATAGGAAGTTATTACTTAGAAGAAGCAAAAAGATTATTTATTTGGGGCATGTTATATTTAGCTGCTGTCCAGAAATCCATGGAATGGTGTATAGCGGAATAGTAAAAATGTGTTTCAGGATGCTGTCAGGCTCTTAGAATGGTAACAGAAGGGTAAGGAGGACGGTTAGTTTTGTGGACAGGAGCGGGTGGGGATGTCAGCCCTCTCGGGCCAGTAGGCTGTGGGGTTGGGTGCTGTGGTTAGGGACTGAGCCAGGGTGATGGCATGTGATTAGATCGGGCAGACGGGCAGTTCAGCAGGGCTGTGGGGGACAGACGGGCTAGACACTGCGCACTGAAGCAGGGACCAGAATCCTCACAATCTGAAGAGCGTGCCTCCCTGTCCATGCTTCGGGTCAGTCCTGCTCCTCTGTTCTTGAGCCGCAGCGGCCTTCTCTTGGTCTCCTTCTGCGTTGTGGTCTTCGTGCATGTTCTTGCCGCAGAGGGGTCCCTGTCTGCCACTTCATACCTGTGGGGCCTTGGGCCGCTTACCTAATGCCTCGAGCTTTCTCCCATCCGTGAAAACAGGGTCATTACTTCTCAGCCAGGGTACTGCGCTCGCCTCCGGGCCTCCTGCTTCTTCCTCTGGGCCCTGTTGTCTGTCCTTCACACAACTGTGTAGACCTGCCTGGTCTGAGGAACGTCCATCCTGCGATTACCCTGCTGTGCTCCAAGCCCCATAGTCCCGATGCACAGGGGCCCCTGTGATCTGCCGCCTCCCGAGCCCGCCTCTCCCTGCTGCCCGCCTGCTCAGTGCTCGTGCTTAGTGCGGTCGAGCCGCACTTGCCTTCCCACACATCCTCTCTCCTCAGGGCCGCCCCCCATTCTCTTCCATCAGAGCGGAACTCTTGTCCCTGCACATAACCGAATGACGCCTTTCCCCCGCTCAGATCTTCGTTCACATCTCCCTGGATCGGAGTGTCCTCTGGGGCTACCTGTGCAGAGCGATCTGTCGTCACTTGTCGCTCCCCTTACCGAGCTTCTTTACCTGTGTCCCGCTTACTGCTGCCCCCGAGATATCTGTGCATTTGCTGTCTGACTCCACCACAAATCGTATCTCAGATTTTCGAGGGCCGGTGCTTGGCCTGTTTATTGACTGGCGTCTCCCCAGCCCCTGGAGCCGTGCCTCCGGTGGGGTTGGCGCGGGAATCAGTAGTCGCGGAGTGACTGCTGATGCCATCAGTAAGCCGTGGAGCCCGTGCCTGCTGTGGGCCAGGGAGTGTGCGCGGGCTTCTGCGCTCACTCACTCACTTATTTCCTGACGAGCTTGGGACCAAGGCAGAGAGAGGCGGTGGCAGGGGTGGGCCATGGAGCCAGAGTCCCAGCCCAGGCCAACCCCCTCCGGAGCCTGCATTCTTCCTGCTTCTGGCAGGGCCGTAGCGGAGTACGAGGCCGAGGGTCACATCCTTATCACCATCCCTTTCGGGCCCCGAGTAGTCCTGGAGTGTCCACGGAGCCGTTGTCAGCATGTTCAGGCTGCCGGCTGGTCACAGTGTTTGAGCCGGGTCTGTTTCCTACCGTCAAATGCGATAGCATTCCTAGCAGAAGCCTCCTGTCCTGTTTGATCCTGAACGTGCAGCCTTGGGCCGCCGCGGCTGCTTGCAGAGCCCCGTCTTCTAGTCCGCTAACGGGCACTCGCTCCGCTTCTGTTCTCTGACGGGGATGTGGCGTAGAAGTGGTGCCTGCGGGGGGCCTGGAACGTGCTGGCAGTAATGAACTCTAGCATGTTCCACAAGGGACCGCCCCACTTGCAGTGTCTGGAGTAACTCGTTGACCTCGATCTGAGGAGGAGCAGAAGGGAAGCTCACTGTTGGGCAGTTGCATATTTTAATGAGGGCAGACACTCCACGGTCTTAGCGGGGCTTGTGTGTGTGTGTGTACCTTGCGTTTTTTCTGCTCTTAACTAACCAAAAGAATGGTGTTACTACTTTATTGGCATGTTTCCCTTGTGAGACTATTAAGTTTTTTTAAACATCGGTAAATAAAACTTTAAGAAAGAACAGATCTTCCTATAACCTTTGGGTAGGCAAATATTTTTATGAACAAAACACTAAAAGAATTTCCCAAAAAGGAAAAGAGTAAATAGGGCCGCATAAAAATTATGAGCTTTCTTCCTTGACAGATAACATTAAAATAAAAAGATTTTTAAAATAATTTTTACAAGACACCATCAAAGAGTGAAAGATGAGTCTTGGAGTGGTGGAAGATAGGCGTCTAGCAATGGCCTCACACCCTGAACGTGTAAGACAGCTGGGGGTGGGAGAGAGGGACCCTCAGCCCTTTAGAAGAAACAGATGTTTCACAAAAGGAGATTTCCTCTTCGGCAGTCATTAGATGAGGCCGTCGGCAGTCCACCCTACTGCGGCAGGCATTGGTCACTACAAGGAAAGAGACCTGCCGGGCGGAGAGATCCGGAACACTGCATGCTGGTGGGATTTTAAACGGGTGTGGCTTCTTCAGCTCCCTGACGGGTGGCACCGGCTAACGCAGGGGTGTGTGTGTGTGTGTGTGTCTGTCTGTCTTATACTCCCAGTCTGTGCCTGTAAAGGACATGGAAAAGAGAGAGAGGGAGAGAGCATTCTGGTGAAATTTGTTTCCACCACTCTTGAAGTGTGGCTTCCTGAACAATTAACTAGTTTATGCTTAGAGTAAGAAAAAAAAAGAGTGTTGGTATCCTCATAATAGCTAAAAAAGCAGGAATAACTCAAATGGTCCTTAGCGGTGGTGTGATATTTCACGCAATACTATAAGCTCAGAGCGACCGTCTGCTTCTAGATAGGCTGAGTCTCACAAGCATGTCAGTGAGTGAACAAAGGCCAGACAGGAAAGGGTATGTTCTGTGTGGTTCCATGAGCATGAGGTCAGCCATCGGGGAAGTGTGGGGAGGTGCTGCCCCTGCCCTGGGTGGACAGTGACTGCTAGGACCGGGTGCCTTCTGGGCTTCTTTCTGCTCTGTCCCTTGCAGGATCATTGAGCTCGCTCTGGACACTGAGGTGCACATCTTTGTGCTGAAAAGTTTGAAAATGGATGGTTAAAAATTACTTGTATTTTAAGTTACTCTTAAGATAATATTTCAGAGTAATTGGTTATGCCATAGTTATAATAATGCTGTAATTGTAGACTATGAATTGAGAAAATTATTTCTGATTTTTCTATTTTGTGAATTATTTTTTAGATATGAATTGAGAATTCGTTATTTGCCAAAAGGATTTCTAAACCAGTTTACTGAAGACAAGCCAACTCTGAATTTCTTCTACCAACAGGTATACGAGAGTGCTCTAATACACCTTATTCTTTGTGGCTTTGAATCCTACTTACTACATGGTTTTATTTTAGAATTTGATTAACGCTAACATTTGGGAGAATGTGTATTTGTCACAGTATGGCAGTGAGAGAGTTTTAACCAGTGAGGAATTTTGAATTTTTGACCCTGAATTCTTATACACTTGGGTAGATCTTTAAAGATACTTCTTTTGTGTGGTACAGCGAATCCTAAGCAATACAAGCATTGGTTTGCCTTTAACTCAAGTACCGTTACCATGCCCGAGTATCTGCAGGCTGGGCCGATGTGGAATTTATTGTCAGAGCCACCGAGAGTCACAGAATCTCGAGAGCAGTTTGCAAAATAAAGGCAGAATTGACTTTTTTTTTTGCACTGAGTAACTTCCTTTTTACCCCTTCAAATATTAGTTAGGCAATACACACGTGTGGCGTAAACGAACCAATAGAATTTTACGTACAAATACACGTTGCTTGTTTGTTTCCACGAAGAGTGACGAAAAACAGGTGCGAGGACTGGCTGACATGTGCGCGCACGTTCTGCAGCCAGAAGCACGTGGTCGTTCCTCGTTTTAATAAAAATATTTATTATGTGTCTGCGGTGGGTCAAGAGCACAGAGGAAATAAATGAGATCCTCTGCATCCTAAATTCCTCAGCTGGGCGGGGATCTCCTGCGAACAGGACCTGTGCTCAGTCCCTGCTGTCGGGAAGCGCAGAGGGCGTGGCCGTGCCGAGAGCGTCTGCCGACCCGTGGAGGTGCAGAGCCCACGCGCTGTCCTGGGAGGGGTCATGTGAGGAGTCCCCAGCTTTGCAGACAAGGAAGAGTCGTACTTTTGGAAACGTGGTGCATCTTAATCTGAGTTAAAAAGTTTGGAGCAGAAAGGGAGAGGAGCTGGGGCCCCCATCGTGAAAAGGGAAGGCCGTAGGTTTCCTCCCGCAGAGTTAGGGAAGCTATTTAAGGGATGTAGTCAGTGAACGTCTCGAGGAGAATTTTTGTCGTCGGGAAGTCAGACCACACTGATGGCGCCGGCATCCGTCATGGACCGGATGGGTTTTAAGGCGGCTGTGAGCGGGTGAGCGGACTCTCCAGCCGTGCAGGCAAGAAACGGGGGAGACAGAGGGGTGCCTGGAGTGCATTCAGCGGTGGATTTGATGGGAATGGGAGACTGATGGGACGTGAACACGAGGGCGTGGATTGCATCAGTCCAGCTGCCTGATGGCAGGACCGAGAAGAGATGGGCCCACTTCAGAAGGAAGGCGGTAGCCGGGTAGGTCGTTTTCTTTCCTGATGTGAGAAACCTGTGGGTTCCTGCTGGGGAGACCCACGCTGTGAGCGCAGGACGCCAGGACGCTGCTCCCAGGTACCGGGCCTGTTTTCTCACCGCATCAGGAGCGGGAAGCGTGAGGGCCGGGGCCCAACGGGAGCCTGGGGAGGTTGAGCGCGACGCGGAGTTGCGTGGGAGAGGGGGTTCGCACTTGGCGACACGGAAAGAGGAGAGTCACGTTTTGATGCGGTGGAGGTTGTTGGGGGCCCGCTCGTACCGCAGCGGTGACGTCCGGTTACGAGCCGCCCTGGGGCTTCCCCGGCTCGGTGGCGGCGTCTGACGAGCCTCGTGCTGGAGCGAAGCAGGTGACAGGGGTTAGCTGGTGGGTTTGCCTTGCGTTCTCGCTCTCGTCGGTGATCTTTGTCACTGTTGGCGTAATTTCTTTGCAATGATCCACCCCCGAGGGAATCCATGACTTTAGTGACACGGGTCTCTGCAGTTCGCAGCCAGGCCTCACCGGCTCACGTCCCTCCCTTTTGTAACTCGGGGCCGACCTCGCAGCCGGCCGCGTTCTTGGCCCTTCCACGCTGCAACCTGCTGTCCTCGTTTTTCCTTCGACGGGACCTTGCTTCTGTCTCCGACTAAAAGTACCGCACGTGCTGGTGTGGCCCCAGTTTCCTCATCCTCCAGAGACCTCTCTCACTGCGGTCTGTGTTGTTCAGCAGACTTTAGGGGACCCAAGAGGTGGGGAGCACGCATCCCGTTGTGTGCTCACCGTGCGTGTAGCGGCCCAGCTGTCCCATCAAGTAGGATGCACGGCCGTGTCACCTATCCCGGTGAGTGAGGTGGGGTTGTCTGTCTTTCCCGTACCCCGCCAGTCTTCCACGTTCGGGCTGCAGACAGCGCCAGGCCCTGGAGCAGTCGGCAGTTACCATCTGTGAACGGGACACGCGTGTGAGCTCACCTTCCGGGACAGGACATGTCCCTCTCCATCCTGTGTGCCTCCACCCCACCCTCTGCTTTCTCTGTTCCTGCACTTTCTCTTTCGCAACCTGACCCTTCTTAATCTCTTATAGTTGTTCAGTCATATGGCACATTTTTAGGAAGTCCTCAAAATACTCTGAATCATCACTCAAAGTATCTTTATCCTAAATAATTACTGTCACTTTGTGTGTGACTTTACGGTATTCTACCATGGACCTGTGTTTTAAAAGAAATACAAGAGCCATCATGATACCGCCCCTTGCCCACGTTGAAGGCTGATCCATGCTGGTGTCCCAGGGACAGGAGACAGAGGGAGGTAAAGGTGTGTGTGCAGAGTCCAGGGGGAGGGCAGGGGAAGGACTGTTGTCACCACCAGTGAGTTGGCAGCTGTACTAAGAGCCGTGAGCGCACTCATACCCTCCGGATCGCATGTGGCAGTGTCGGCAGTGGGTGAGGAAGAAATAGTGGACTGTGGGCAGTTCGATTGTCACACTGACACTTGCCCTTGCAGGGGCGCACGGTAAAGGTAAGACGGACACGTGCGTGTGTGCAGTTGCTCATCGGAGCAGTGCACTACCGGAAGGGGACCCGGAGCCTCGCTCAGTAAGGTCAGTAAGAGGTTCCTCAGATAAGTTGTGTGGAGCGTCAGATGTGAGTGTCCGTCCTGACCCAAGCGCCGTAGCCGCGTTCGCACACGCGGGAGCCGTGACGCTGATGCTGGCGCTTACCGCCACCCTGCATAGAACACGCGTGGTTCTGCTCATGGGAGAAGACGTGCGTACTGTTGTTTCTACCCTGACCTAACAGAGTCGTGCAAGGAGCATGGTGCTCACGTTGCTGCTTTGACAAGGACCTACGTGTTTACTCAGCTCCTTGTGCTAACCTCTCAGTGCAGAAGCTGTCCTCTTGCACACGTGGGCATTCCAGCGCTGTCACAGGCAGGACCCAGGTTGGGACAGTCCTAATGCCACTGTTGGAAATCAGCTAGGAGTTCAGAGCTTTCCCCTGTTTAAACACGTGCACTTGTGCACATGCGCACGCGTGCGCGCGCGCGCGCACACACACACACACACACACACACACACACAGCATAAATAAAACTGTAGCCCTTCAGCGGCTGTTTGTAGCCAAGGTCTACTTAATTGTGAATGGAACTGAAGTTTTTTGTAAGAACCTTTTTTTCTCTTCTTTTCCCCTTTTTAAAAAAATTAACATATAATGTATTATTTGCCCCAGGGGTACAGGTCGTGAATCATCAGGCGTACACGCTTCACAGCACTCACCACAACATATACCCTCCCCAGTGTCCATCCCCCAGCCACCCTATCCCTACTCCACACCCCCAGCAACCCTCCGTTTGTTTCCTGAGATTAAGAGTCTCTTACGGTTTGTCTCCCTCCCGATCCCATCTTGTTTCATTTTTTCCCTCCCTACTCCCCACGACCCCCTGCCCTGCCTCTCAACTTCCTCATACCAGGGAGATCCTATGATAATTGTCTTTCTCTGACTGACTTATTTCGCTTACCATGATGCCCTTTAGTTCCATCCACGTTGCAAATGGCAAGATTTCATTTCTTTTGATAGCTACAATTTTCCATTGTATGTATATACCACATCTTCCTTATCCATTCGTCTGTTGGTGGACATCTAGGTTCTTTCCATAGTTTGGCTATTCTGGACATTGCTGCTATAAACATTTGGGTGCATGTGCCCCTTCAGTTCACTGCATTTGTATCTTTAGGGTAAATACCCAGTAGTACAATTGCTGGGTCATAGGGTAGCTCTATTTTCAACTTCTTGAGGAACCTCCATGCTGTTTTCCAGAATGGCTGTACCAGCTTGGATTCGTATTTTGTAAGAACTTGAGTGTGGAAATTTTCACTGAGATCAGGGTTAAGTTACCTAATAGAAGCCTCGGAGTTAAATGACACCCATTCTATAATTTTTTAAATCTTTTTTCTATTGACAAAAATATGTAAGATGTATACATATATGTGTACATATATTTCCACTGGATTCCAGGCTAAATGAATCCATTTTTAGGGGACCCAGAATTTGATAACCTTGATTCTTTTTAATTATTTAGTTTGGTAACACCCAATATGTGTATGCTTTTGTGAGGTGTGCTAGTTAGTACTAGCGTGAGTGCCCGTGATGCTACGGCCCAAATGAAGAGAACACACCTGTTGTCTCCTGGTCCCTGTCCCTGTCACACCTCCCTGCCCCCATGCTTTCACTCCATGCACTCGGCCATGGTTCCTATGTGTCCGTCATCCCCTTGCTTACTTCCCCTTGCAAGTTGGTCACATTTTACAGTGAGTGCGTGTTTGGTTCTGGCCTAGGGTACGAGCTGCCCGAGACCCCCGATTCCTCTGCATTCCCTCAGCGGCCTGACTTGGGTTTGCATATTGTTTTGTATGTCACCCAGCTCATAGAAGCATTCCAGAAGATTAAAAAAAAGTTCGATTCTGTGCTTTTAGTTGTTTTCAGTGAGCAGTCTCATCAGGACATCCGGTCCACCATGTTGGTGGACATGGAAGTTATCATAAGGCTATTTAAGCATGGATCCTGTTTGGTTCATTTCTAGAATAATTTTGAACTGTGGTTAGAGTCTGTGGTTCATTTGATGCTAGTCCAGATTTGTTTAGACCTGTTTCAGCACCTCCCACCTGCTGAGGTTGTTTCAAGGTTCTGGTTTTGCTGAAGGAGAACGTGTCTTCTGTGAGTGTTGGGC